GCACGGGGTTGGATACAGAGTAAAGCTCCCTCTACACTGTCCCCCATGAAACACTCCCAGGGCAGGGACAGCACGGGGTTGGATACAGAGTAAAGCTCCCTCTACGCTGTCCCCCATCAAACACTCCCAGGGACAGCACGGGGTTTGATACAGAGTAAAGCTCACTCTACACTGATCCCCCCATCAGACAGGGACAGCACGGGGTTAGGTGCGGAGTACAGCTCCCTGGTTTCGAACCAGCCTGTGTCCTTGTATCCCGCACTCTGCACCTCGGTGCAGCCCCACCTGGTTGAATATGGCGTGACTGCTTGCTCTCCGTCCTGCCCGGAGCCTGTGACTGCATGGTGAGGGGGTGCTTACCGAGATGATGTCCCGGGAGTTATCCGGACGGAAGCGCCAGGAGAGGGTGGTGAGATCTGACACATACTCGCTCGACCAGAAGCCACAATACAGTGTCACGTCTGATCCTACCCGCTTGTGGAGGTTATGGTGCGTTGAGACCGAGATTCCCTCTGAGGACCGGATCACTGCAGGAGAAAACACACAGATACACACACACACAGATACACACACACACACACACACAGATACACACACACAGATACACACACACACACACACAGATACACACACACAGATACACACACAAATACACACAGATACACACACACACAGACACACACGCACACAGATATACACGCACACCCACACAGATACGCACAGATACACACACACAGAGATACACACGCACAGATACACACACACACACACACAGATACACACGCACAGATACACGCACACACACAGATACGCACAGATGCACACACAGAGAGAGATACACACGCACAGATACACACACAAGGGAGAAAGAGACAGAGAGCACCGTCAGAAAATAGCTCAGGCCGGTTGTCAACTGCCCAAAGTCCAGCACCCAAACACACCCTCATCAACAGGAGACAACAAGGTGTAGAGCTGGATGAGCACAGCAGGCCAAGCAGTTTTTCTAAGAAGGGTCGAGACCCGAAACGTCAGCCTTCCTGGTGCTGCTTGGCCTGCTGTGTTCATTCAGCTCTACACCTTGTTATCTCAGATTCTCCAGCATCTGCAGTTCCAACTGCCTCCCTCATTAAACCAGCACGTCTTCAGTCAGATTGGAGAGACCCGAGCGTGACAGGGAAACCACAGTGGGGGAGACAGCAGGGAGAATTTCCCCTTTCAATAGGCACCCTAACAGAGAGAGACTCCCTCTTTAACCAGGGTCCCAATTCCCCGGACCTTTAAATACAGAGGAAAGCTCTCTCTACACTGTCCCCCATCAAACACTCCCAGGGACATGGACAGTACGGGGTTAGCTACAGAGTAAAGCTCCCTGGACACTGTCACCCATCAAACACTCGCAGGACAGGGACAGCACGGGGTTAGATACAGAGTAAAGCTCCCTGTA